ACATAACTTCATATTCAATACCCCATATATATGTTCATGGAACCCAATATAAAATCCCTTTCTTAAATTTTGGACCCAAACCCTAACTTCACCAAAATCCTCCCAAATTCGACCACTTATACAAGATGACAAAATACCTAGGTTAAAAATCATATCAAGGTGTAGAATGTCCCTACCTTACGTGTAGAAGCTTAAAGGAGATGATGAAGAACTTCAAAAATGCACCAAATTCGATTTGACTCGGATCAAAGGGAGGCCTTTGAGATGCTCCAACTCTTTAACAAAGGGACTAGGGTTGAGAGATGCTTGGATCTTGGGGTATTCGTGGAGAGAGAGAGAGAGCAAGATTTTTAGAGAGAAAGTGTGTCAGATTAGGGTTTTTTTGCCAAAAAAGGAAATCAAAAAGTGATATAAAACTCTCTGCTGCAAACTGATATACACGACCTTCGCTCGAGCGAAGGAGTTGTCGTTCGAGCGACCAGACACAACAAATGACCTCGTTTGAGCGCAAGAAGTGTCGCTCGAGAGCAAAATGCAAAGCTTCAGAAGTTTTACAGATGCACACGCTCGCTTGAGCGCAAGAATCCTCGCTCGAGCGAAGCATTTCACCTTCCCATAATTTCTGCATCTGGGAAAGAAACCTGAGAACTCTTAATTCTCGCTCGAGCGAAGGAGCAAATTACACAAGGCTCGCTCGAGTGCAAGAAGCCTCGCTAGAGCGAAGAAGCCAAAATCTGGGCAACAACAATCTAGACCAACTAACAACCAACCTGTTCTAAACACGCCCAACATGTTCTAAAACTCAAATTCAAAGAGTTAAAAGAGGAAAACAAGACATGGATACAATATTAAACCACGAGACCCGAGTCTGAAATGTAACAAAGGTCGGATCAAAACCGGGATCGCTATAATCTTTACTGGGCTTTGGCTCACCCTATATGGAAAATCATTTTCAGGTGCTGATGATATGCCTCGACCAAGGCAATGATTTTGGACGACTTGGAGCCAAGAACTTCTTTTTTTTGTTTTTGTTTTTGTTGTAATTATTTTGTACAAGCCTAGGGCTTTATTTGTATTGAGTATAAACGCACTTTTGTTGTAATCAAATATCGTCTTAGAAAGTTATAGCCAATAGGGAATTACTATATCTATTTAACTCTTATCTCATATCTTTTGCTATGATACATGCCATAGATTCAGGATTAGGACTCATGAATGTATTACTGCATATGTTACCCTTTTATAAAAAGATGAAACCTTATGAATGGAAGAAGATTACATTTGCACATCTGTTGTTATTTAATATCTGTTGAGGGATGATCTTATTGTAATATTTTCGGAGCATTACATGAGTCACTGAAGAGGTAAATCCTCTTGCCTATTCCTTTGTACAGTGATACCCTGTGAGGGTAGAAGGTTAAGCTAATGCTTTTAATGACCTAAGTGATATGAATAATCAACTGTGGTATAATGAGATACCTTATATTGGTCACCTATGTGAGTGCGAAGTGGGGCCGTTTCTTTAAGAATTGGTAAGGCCGAATTTTTTAAAAACACTCACTGAACCAGGCTAGTGTTCCAGGGCCATACCAGACACACCAATGAAAACAAGAACAATGGTTAGACTAACTCTTGTGTGAGGTCTATTGTCTTAGTGTACACAAACGGCAAAACAGTTCAAGACATCACGTTCACCGGTCAGCTAGTAAATCCAATAGGCTTTTACTACAAAAGGTTCAAGGCTAACAACCTTTTCTGATGCAAGGTTATTCTGTGAATGTTGTTCGTTTTCTTTATTCGGTCAATTTTTATTCATGTGGGAGATTGTTGGAAAAAATGGTTTTATGGTGACTTTAATGTGAAATTAAAGTAGGTCCTAACCATCGATTGATGTGGGATTAAATGGATTTAGATTCTCTGTAATAAGATCATTACACCACAAAAAGAATGATAAAAAACCATTAAGAATTGAATGAGAAATTGTCTCATAAAATTGGCCTCATGAATGAGGTTTGGGAATTGAGTAAAACTATCAATCTCACATTGATTGTAGAGGAAAGCATTGATAGGTATTTGAACCTCAAGATTTTGATAAGGGCATGAGCCCTTTGGGGCATCCAAATTTTTTGAAGGAATGGAGTTATTGATGCTTCAAGGATGGGCTTGGGCTAAAACCATGGTACAAGTTGGTTATGCAAAAATTGTCACATGAGCTTGGGCCGCCCTCCTGGACTGGTCCGAGTCCGAGTTCGGGTTCGTGGTCCATGGTCCATGATCCGTGGGTCAGGGGTTGTAGATCGTAGATCTTGGAACTTGGGGCTTGGGCTTGGGCTTGGGCTTGGGCTTGGGCTTGAGGCTTGCTGGAATGGGTTTGGCTGGGCCGGATTGATGGTCCAACAACCTAATCTTTTTGGGCCAAGTTTGTTTGGTGGCTGTAAATATACACACGTGTGTATACAGAGTGTGTAACTCACACTTATTCTCTATTAGTTTTGTGCATTACTCCATCAGTTTTGTAGGAGTAATGAGCTACATTTGTTGCCAGCTTCATTGCTAGGAGGCTCCTCCTCTCTTCGCCATTGTGTATAAAAGGAGGCCATCTTCCTTAGTTTCAACACAGAAGTTTTTTGCTTCTATACTATACAGTCAGTCTGCTCCTATATTGTCCTTCCTGTGTAAGAGAGTGCTGCCATTGTTAGTTCGCTGGAGCTAAACAAAAGGTGCTTCTACGTTAGCGGGTCTATACCATCGTATCTTGGTTGACAGATGCCGACATAACTCCAGCACCCATGGTGAGGCAACAAATCTATGTTATAGAAACTGTGGTATCACACAAGCTTCGATTTGCTTCCTTTACTATTTTATTTCAATTTTTGATTTTGTTAAACATTTCTGTTCATCAAAATGTAATCTCCAGCATGTGTTATATTTATGGTTTCTTATTCTGTAATATAAATTTAATTAATTATGAGTCTATTTATTTTATTTAATCTATACAATTTGTACAACACCACCATCGTGACTAACAAGTACCCATCAACAAACCCATTTATAGAAATCCACAAGCGAACCAATCACGTTGATTACAGAAAGAATGGAAAAGATATGGATGTGGTGGATTGAGGTGTTGCAATCTAAGTGAGTTTGAATCGTTTCATCATTATTCCAATCATATGACACATTGATCCACAGTTGATTCAATGTGTTAATGGAGAGATAAATGAGTAGGAACAAAAGAGAATGAGAGTTATGAGACGAAGAAAGAAAGATCTAGGAAACAACTCATCGTTATCGGTGTTTCATGTATTGATGAAAGAAAATGAGATGAAATGGGATATCAACAAGAAGCGATGGTTGGGGTAAGAGAGATGAGAAAGGGGTGGCTATAGGACGAGAAAGGAGTGAAGAAAGGGATGTCAAGGTATGTTGTTGCAAACGATGATGGTAATAGAAAGAGTGGGTTAGACCAGATTTGGTGTTGCAGAAGATGTTTGGTCTAATGTTGATTGTGTTGTTTGGTTATTGTGATTAGGTAAATGATGTTTGTTTACAAAAATAAAAATATATAGAGAAAAATGTCTTATTAGATGTAGGGTAAACTAATAAAACATCACATTCTACTAACAATGTTAAGGAGACAAAACTGATAGGGGAGGTTAGTGTCATTTTAGAAACCTTAGGGAAGGTTTTTGAAATTATGACAAACCTCAAGGCAGGTCATTGTAATTTACCCTATTTTGAAAGAAAAACTTTTGTTTGGTTTTGAATTTTGGACACTCAGATCAAAAATCTATTTTTGAACTTCGTAGACCAATAGATAGATCTAAACTTAAATTCTTTTAGGCCAAAAGGACACCTATATGTTTAAACCTTACCTACTTGTCTGTCTATCTATTAAAATTTCAACTATCTATTTAAATGTCACATATTTGTACATATGTCACCTATTTGTCTAACTATTTGTTCAAATATCAAATATCTATTCAATGTCACCTTTTTGTCCATCTTATCACCAACCATCACAGCTAGCCACTGGTGATTTTCCAACACCAGCAACTTTTCTAGTGACTTTTCCAGCGTTATTGACTTTTCAACACATACCTTTGACACAAAAAAGATTATACCTTGGATTAAATAACATATGACTTCATAGGAATGGACTTTTTCACAATTAGCCCTGAAGAAATAAAAAGACCTTTATAAAAAGTTAATTTGGTAATATAACATGATATCAATTCTTCTATTTGTTTAATATATCTCAACCAAAATAGATATAAGAGAAATTAATATATTTTCTTTTCTTTTCTTTCTCTTAACTTATATAATCGGTTTTTTTTTTTTTTTCTTTTTCTCTCCTAGGTTACCAAACACCACAATATAATCTAATTTAACAAGTATGTTAATGATTTAAAATGAGTCATTATTGTAAAATTTATAATTCCTTTTCAAATGATCCTAAATATGATTACTATCTTATACGTTGATTTCTAGACTTTGAATGATAGTCTTTATTCTCAAATATATATATATATATTTTTTAAATCATGCCTTCGATATATACATATATATATATTATCACTTGATAACATGTTAATGAGTTAATAGAGTTATATTACTACAAGTCGACATCACTTCATTAACACGAACTTAAGATCTTATCTCTTTAGCATCTGAATGTTTCTACACCTGAATGTTTCTACACGACCACTTAAGTTACAACTTGAGTCGGGTCAAGTGTTATATGATTTTTATTTGAAAAATGAGACATTGTGTAAGGATGGCCATTTTTTCCCACCTCGCTCCATCCCCACATTCCTCACGCAGCCCCGCATGGGTTTGCCTCACCCCAATGAAAAGTGGGGTGGGGACAGGTTCAACCATGGATTGGCCATCTCACTATCTAATTGTTACAAAGAACCTTCCTCTTATTATATCCTACCATAAATCAAACACAGTTGAATTAATTCCATGATATATATAATCTCATCTCTTGTTCTAGATATTACTAATCTGACTTCAATTCCATGTCATTACTAATCCCAAACAGGCTAAAACATCTAATCCGTTCAAATGTACATTCTATGGCCCAATTCCTTTGGGCAGTATGTCTCCTTTGGGCAGTATGTCCCCCAATCAGCACATTTAGATCCCATCATTTTTGACGAATCATGCTGCCACTGTTTGTTCACAAGAATCAACAACTTTCAAGCCCAACAGGGCCATACAACACCAACAATGTGTTACAAAATTGTTGCATTTAATTAGCTGCACTTACGGCATTGACAACATCATCAGATTCATCAACAATCATATCATCCCTAAAAAGAATTTTGAAATAAGGAAGAACTTTGGGAAGCACATGCAGATCTGCTAAGTTAACACTCATCAAGTCGAAGGCAATGCAGGTTTTGTGCATGTGAGTTTCATCAAACACTGGAATCTTAGGGTATCTTTGGCTGAAGTGGGTAAGAATGATACGATATGCTCCAGCAGAGTTCCCAACTTCAATGGCTTCCTTCGTTGTGCTGTGGTTTTTTGCTATAGCCTCCTCTACCATTCCATCCTCAAATGTTGCCTGCAACGTCAACAACAAACAACCCAATCAATAAAGATAAAAACTGTTTCGAAAGGAAGACACAAGTGGGCAGTTCCAATTTCAGATTTGCTATCCCAAAGAAGCAAGCATGTTAGAATGTTGGGCAATATAAGAGTCTGTTTGGATGCACATGGATTTCAAATCAAGAGATTTGAAGTTGAATTTAATAAAAATATTAGCTCTGTTATTTGTATTTATGAAGTTGAAATGTATGGATTTGGCATTATTCATTCAAAGGAGAGAAAGGAAGAAGGATAGCTCAAAATTAAGATTTGAATAGTTTAGCTAAGTATTTGAAGATTATATTAAAGAGCTTTAACATCATGCAATTGAATACCTATGCAAAAGTAATTTGAAAATCATGCTAATGATTCCCCTTTTAACTACAAAGATACTACAAAACTACATTTCTTTCTAGTTTTTCTATCCACCTATAATAGGTAATTCTAATAATTTTATAAAATCCAACCTCAAATTCCTTGATTTGAAATCCACATCTATACAAACGAGCCTTGGAGAGGTGGTCTATTTGCACCGAAAAAGATTGGTTGGACACCCCAACTTAATAAAAAATAAAATAAAATTATTACTATTATGTCCCTATTCAAAATGACCAAAAAGGTGTTTTTTTTTTTTTTTTTTTTTGGATCGGCAAAAGTCAGTTGTTGGTTGTTAAATTAACACCTATGGGCGATTAGCCTCCCTATCCTTGCAAGGTACCAAGTACTTGCCTCCTTAATTCAACTTCCTCTTAGAGAGAGTTAAACCCATGACCTCTCCCTTGGGACTAAGCCCTTTAAGAAAATCATGGTGCTAGTTGGTTGATCAAAAAGTACTTGATATTAAAAAAAGTGCAAATCATAATGTTTTGTACACCCCATCTCATAATCAATCTCAATATTTTCTTCTCTCTTCTCTTCTCTCTTTCTTCACTTTACATCTTCATAATCAAGCCTATTCCTCTTGAATCAATCATTCTTGCATTCTATTTCATATTGAAGTCAACAATGAACAATGAAGAAGACGTGTCCAAATTGTTTTTTTATAGAGAATTTAGGTTTTTTTGTTCATCTGCATGGCCTTTGGTCAATGGATTTTCGGAATTTGTTCAGAAATTTAGTACCGAACAAATTATATTTATTCGGAAACTTATTTCTAAAAATATTTCATATATTCGGCACCGTGTTTCCAAATTATTTGACATTGTTCAGTATTTAATATCCGAACAAGTTTATGTTCGGCTTTATGTTTCCGAACATTTAATTTTCTAACTTCTTCATATTCTAGTTCCGAACAAGAAAAAACTATCCGGTATTACAAGCAAATTACATATGTTTGGAAAGCTTTTTCCAAATAAATTCAATTTCGTTTGGTATTGAGTGTCCCAAAAAAATAAAAATATTCAGCTATGTGTTTCCATACCTTTGGGTGGTTTGGGAGCCTATTTGAATTGTGGGGTGCACTAAGCATCTTTCTAGAGTTTTTGAGGATATAATAGGGTATTATTTGGGGTGTTTAAAATAATAGAATAGATTTTAAATTTTAGATTGGGGTGTCTTTGCAGTTAGAAGGAGAACCCTAAGCATGATTTCAAATAACTACTTTTATATAGTTATTTCAACTCTATTATGAGAAAGCTATTTAATTTAATCTTGAAATTCATAGATAAACTATCAAATCTAAATTTAAGTTGTTCTCCTTGAATGATTAATGTCAAATCTATGCATTTCAAATCCGTAAACACAAACCGCACCTAAGTGCATTTCCTAACCTACTTTGAGCTAAGTTTCTTGATTCAAAGCCAAGTGGTTGGTGTGGTCGCACAGAGTACCAGTTGCTCCATCCACCTGGAACATACACACACCTTTTCATTTCCAATATATCCCTTATTTAAGTGCATATATTCAAATCTGTCATTCTCAACAGTCTTGACGGGGTTTCATCGATGATTGAATGAGTCTTCAAATGTACTGCCCTATGGACTTTGAACGTGGATTGTTCTGTGGAACGGGAACGGGAACGTGGTATGCCACATATTCTACTTCCATTAACAAAATTCAACGTACTTCTTGAACAATTTTGTTTTACAATTAGACATCCAATAAAAAGCATTTTTTTTAAAAAAATTAATTATTATGTAATGAAACATTTCTACAAGCATTATGACTCATTTTTTTTTATTTTTATGTTTTGTCCTATAAAAACTCCTCTACTTAGGTTTTAATTTATTATACTAAAATTTCTAAGGATTTTTTTTTTAAGACAATATATTTGGATTTTTTTTTTCTTTTCTTGGGATAGCTTTGGATTACTAAATTTAACATTTTGGAACGGAAATGTACCATATTTTGGAACGTGCATTCCAAAACGTAAATTGCTTGGGTAATAACATTTTTCTATAACAATGATTCTACCACTCAACAAGAAGTGACACCCATCTCACCAAGCACCATCTTGGCAACACCTACTAAAGATTATATTATATATATATACATTTGGGATAATAACAATTAAGGAAGGTAATGAGAGATTATTTACAATTAAGGCATTAAATGTAAATATTTATTCCCCAATTTCTCTATTGCCAATTTAATTACAAAATGGTAAAAACTCAAGGCCAAAAATGTCTTTTTATTTATTATGCCTTTTCCTTCTACAGAATCTAACTACCGCTGCCACTATCCCTCTCCATCTTTGGAGACTGCCACCATCACCCCTTTGTGATGAAGATTTCTTGACGGCTAGAGCACCCAATTCATTTTTCAACACTGGGTCAGTCACTTTATTTGTTTATCCATTATGATTGGGTTTACAAGTTGGTGTGATTTGTTTTCCAGTGAATTGTTAATGGATAGATTGGTCTTAAGGAATACTCCCTCAAAATTTGTGGATGTATGGATATTTTTTGAGTTTCAATTAAAAACAAAGAATTTTAGGGAGCTCACTTTATTCTCTTATATATATATGATAGAGATTTTCATGAAGAATCTGAACGCCAGAATATTTCTTCAATTTTATGAAGATTTATAGGCCTTGAAGCAGCAGCAGCAGCTGTGGTTTTTGGAGAGGGAGGAGGTCTAAGGGATGTGGTGGAGAAGAGAAACCCATAGACAAAAACACATTTTTACACCCAATTTTGACCATCTTGTAATTAACTTTTCAATATGTAGATTTGGAAAGAAATTCCTACATTTAATGAACTTGATTGGAAATTGTTTCTCATTAACTGTCGTAACTATAATAATCTTTTCTTTTCTTTTTTTGAGAAAACAAAAAGCCTAGATCTGTCAAGAGTATATATAATTGTTAATGCATCTGTGTCATGCAGAACTGAAGACACTTATGAAATTATTTTAGCAAAAACTAAATATCCGACTCACACAGATGGCCCAATGATTAAGGGCAAACCTCGGGACAAACAAATTTGACTGTCCTGGGCTCAACTCTTGATGGATGCCATGCCCAGTCTTACCCGATATGTGTGTCTTGTGGGTTGGTGTATGTATCTGGGGTTTACCCAACCAACACACACAATGTGTGGGGTGGATTCCTCGTCAGAGAAAAAACTTACATGAAAAACTAACAACATAAAAGAGCAAAAGTGCATAATGCTATGTGAAAACGAACCTCGTGTATAAGAATTGTTGCTCCATGAGATGCCTCAATTAATTCTGGGCAGGGCCTAGTATCACCAGAGTACACAATCTTCCAGCCTGGTATTAATTTCCCAACAGCATTGATTCGATCTGCAGCCTTCAAGACCACACCAAATGCCTGTGGACAGTGCACTACAGGAAAACTTATCAAAGCCTCTAAACCTGCTTCTCCGAGCACTTTTTTCATGTTGTTTAGGATGGGAATAACTGTGCCATTGTTAACAGGACTATCTGGTCTCTTCCAATAGCTCTGCATACGACTTCCTTCAGCAAACAAAGTAGAATCAATATTGTGGTTTGTTCGCCCAACTGTGCTTGCATTATTCACAAAACTATTTGATTCAAAAGCCTCCAATGAAGCTTCTGTGGTATGCCTACAATCAAGGAACTGCATATCTAGATCTTCAAGTATTTGGTATGCGTCTAGAAATCTCTTAAGCTGCCTAGGGCCAATAACAAGCAAAGGTTCGTGCGGCACACCCTCCAACAAATCACGTCGAAGAGCAAGTATTCTTGCTAGACCCGTATGGTGGTCTGCATGAATGTGAGAAATCCAAATACACCTTAAACCTCTCACAGCATCATCAGCACCCTCGACACCAAATCTGTTCTCAAGAGACATCGAAAACCCACATGTAAAAAGATATGAAAAAAATATAACAATGTTGAGATACATTTGAAAATTCCTAGATGGTGGGGTTACCTTCTTTTCAGCTGACCTAGGGTTCCTTCACCACAATCTAAGAGTAAGCTTCCTTTTGAGAAAAGATTGATTAAGATAGAACTAACATTTCGGTACTTTGAAGGCTGGGATGAACCAGTCCCCAGAAGAACAATCTCCATGTCTTCTCTTGAAATATCTTCCAAACAACTAGGAAGAGCATTTTCATTCAACCATGGCTCTTCAATCATAAGATTGTTATTTAGCATGGGAGTCACATCCTCTTTTGAATGTTTGCCGTCACGCCAGAACCAGGTAATCTGTTGGGCAGAATCTACAACCTCTGGAATCTCCAAAAGTAACTCATTGATGATTTCTGAGGAAGACACTAAACTCGGAACACAAGATCTATCTAACCCAAGCTGAGCATAAGGACGCAAATGGAACTGTTCCAAATACAACAAACATTTAAATTACTTGAAGAGGTAAGTTATCAACTAAGAATATGTGTTTCTTTAGATAATATATTTCCTAATTCAGTGACAGTTAGGCCTGAGAAAATCGGACAGCCACGAGAAAACTCAATCAAAAGATTTCAATTGAAGAGAATCTTGATGCTGTAGGATCAGTAATCTGTTTGTACCTTTAGGAGATTTTCAGCAGAGATGACTTCACAAAGCTTTGGAGCAGGAACCTGCAAGGAAGAAACCAAGTCAATTGCTAGATAACCACAAAACCAACTAGAATTTAACTGTCATTAAAACCCATAAAAAGATAAACTAATCACTGCTCTCTAAAAAAGACGTCACAGTAAACAAACCTCACTCAATGTCCCGGGGCCTGGCGCTGAGCAATTCAGGTGCTGGAGAGACCAAAAACCTGAAGCTGGAAAGAACTGAGGACACAGATAATTTAGCCGTGCTGCAACCCTTGCACTGGATTTTAAAATAGGAACCTCAACATTCTTCCTGCACATACAACGAAAATCATTAACAGCATGATCACAGTTGTTAGAATCTTGTGATTCATGATTTGATTCATACGATTCAATAAAAGTTTCAAACAAACTGATTCAATTCATGCTATTGAATCTTAAATTGAATAAATCTTATTCAATTTCAATTCACCATAAGTTTTTGCAACTCACTGCAATTTGTGTGATTCTCTGCGATTCAGTTTTGTTTGCATAATACATGAAGCAATGTCATTTTTGCAAATAAAAAAAGAGAAATTAATTATATTGATATACATGATTTTATATGCATATATATGTACAATTTAGTTATATTGATATTTATTCATTTGAAACACCATATGTGTATTTTTACATGTATATGCATATATAAAAATATATATTAAGTTCAAGTAAACAAATCTTACGATTTACGATTCCATATTTGACATGATTACTTGACAAGGAATGAACGAAAAAGCAGAATAATAACTCTATATGCATTTGGAGGAGAAGAAAGGTACATTTCATGTCCTGCCATGATATGTTGGGCTCCACTAAATCTTGTCATCCACTTCTGATAGTCACTGGTGTTTATTACATGTGCAGGGGTTAGGTGAATTATAAAATTCACTGCTTTGGAGGTCTCTGCTAGGTTGTCTGACATATCTCCATAATAACTGCTAAGACAGTGTGAAGACAACGCTTGCAAATGAGATAATGTTGGGCAGTCAACGATGAGTACGATTGGACCAGGAACAGAAGGACCCATTACATCACTTGGATGAACCTACAAATGAAGTGAGAGACAGAACCAGAAGCATATATGAGGGCCTATGTTGCATGGACTCAGGTAAGAGTGTCAAATCTAGAGGTCAGACCCATCAAATCTCAAATGTATGCAAACTGGCAAAAAAGGGGTCATACTTTTATATTTTTAATCCATATGTGAGACAAAATGGTGTTATAACATACTATGTCAAAAAGGCATTTTAATAATTTTGTAGCAATAATAACATAATATATGCATATAATAGTGCTAAAAATACAAATATATAAGTGTCCGATGCAACGTATCGGACACATATCCAACACCCTTGACCAAGTGTCGGGTGTCCGACATGGGTATTTGATTTATTTTGAATAGTTCATCTAACATATATGAAAGCTACAACTTTTAAACCAACCATGACATTTTGATGATCTGACTTCACTGAATTCCCTAGTTGCAGTTCACGATACTTTGGGCCAGGTTTCAATCCAAGAGCAGAAGCTTTTTTGGGATCAAACTTGCCCTTTATTTCTGGCAGTTCACAAACATATATCACAGATATATCACCAAGCTTTACTGCAAGCTCAGCTTCATTATTTGGACATCGTGGTGAAAGGGGTTCAGAATACTGATTTCCTCCCTCTTCTAGATCCAATTCTGTTGCATCAAGCAAGTTGCCACTTTTCTTGTTGAGCTCAGACCCGGCAGAACAGCTTGGTTGCAGAAGAACAGCTGATATTTTGACAACTTCATCATCAATGAGAACAATAGGGTCAGTAAACTTCCTTGGCTCAGGAATAGGAACCCCATCAGTACCAGGTGATGGTCCAAAGCTATGTGTGTGAACCACAGCGGCCTTTGGGATGAACGATCTCATTGCATCTACTAAATACTTGAGATCTGAGGGACCCCATACGTTGACCTACAAAAAAAGTAGCAACTTATATGATAATCTCATTGAAATTGTTTAATCAATCTGACTTTATTTTAAAGAAGAAGAAGAAATTTGGTAACTTAAGCCAATTTAGTACTCACAGACATTCCTTCTTCTCCCATACCAGCCAATGTCAATAAAAGACCTGAAAGGTAGAGTAGAAAACTAAAGTTTTTCATGGCTCTCAAAATAATCCCCTTGCATCACCATTCAAATAGTAAAGTAAAATACTAATCCCATTAGAACAATTTTTTTACCCAATTATTTTACACAACTCTTCTATACATATAAAGCAATTTTTTTGGTAAAATTTCAAAACTGAATTCAAGACACATACCTGGAAGTCCACCCGCTGTTTCTGAGCATACACGAGAGAGAAATATATAATCAATCTGAAGACAGGCAGATTATCAGTATGTCTTCCCCCAAAGTGAGGAACAATATAATATTTAATGATGAAAGAAACTCAAAATATGTATTGACAACAGAAGAAAAAACAAATTAAAATGTTTGCAGATACATCCTACCTTTGACAACTTAATCTTATGCTCTGTACAGAAGCGTTGCAACCCCTGGAACAAGAATTACATACTAAGAGAGATGAGGATTGAAAAGCTCCAGAACATTCTCCTTATAATTATACTAGCAGGAAAATAAAGAAGCCTAAAAAGGTCATTACAATTGTACAAACCATCTATGCATGACAAAAAGGTGATGTCTAGAATATAGAAAACAGGATTATGGACCGAATATGAAACATAACAGTTATGCAATGAACACTTTCCATTTAGATTTCTCATCAATATTTGCCACCTCATTTCTCCAGAAATGAAGGTTTTTCTTTTTAAGAGAGATTACAAATGAACATAAGATTTATTGTAGACATATGGTAGCGCATATGACTTCCGCCATATGCTCCAAATGATTATTCTAAATAGAAATTGATCTCATCTTCAACTTAATAGTCACCAGAGGAGTCTACGGGTGGAGCTACAAATATAGAAGCGAGATCATGATCCCACTAAAATAATGGGTTAAGTTGTGTATTACGCAAACAATTTAAAGTTGTATGTAGTTGTACCCTACCCTCTAAATTTTTGAGAAATTAAAGATGGGGTTAACTTTAATATTAAAAAAGTAAGTAGAATTTTTCACCAAATAAGAAACTGTAAATGATATAAATTAAACTATATTCTTGTAGGTCATTTTTTTATTCAACTTGAAGTTAAGTTGAAAATTTCAATTGAAAAAACAAAAAAACAAAAACTTAAACTACAATTTTTTATGTACAATTCTTTTTACAAGTAATACACTTAATGATTAATGCTTTTGGAGGGATAAGATGTATTGATTCAATAATGTAAAAATGTTTGACAATGTTATCAGCTATTTTTTATAAATTTGACACTTGGGTTAAAAATTTGCATTACATTAATATTGCAATTTAGGTCATACTTTCAGTTAGTACCAAAGTTTCGAAAAGCGGTTACGGTTGCGGTCGCGGTCGCCATAACGGTTGTAGTGGCACAGTTGCAGTTGCAGAGTATAAAGGCCGTAGTGTAACGATTGCGGTAACCGGAACCGTGATTTTTTATATTTTTCGCACAATTTGAAGATAACTTACCGATACACATTTTTTTTTTCTTTCTAGAATCACATTTATTAGGATTTAAAATAGATTTGGATCAATTTCTGTTAATTTTTAAGTATGATTCAATATATTTCATATTTTCAAATCACTATAAAAGGAGCTTTTCACATTTTATTTCAATAGTTAATGTTTTTAAGAATAATTGATTTTAAATTTCTACAAATTATTTTTGACCAATACCTGAACTAATTGAATAAAAAATATTCACAATTATTAAATGAAATAATTATAAAATAAAAATTGTGCCATACACAAAAAATTATTTTTGAGGCATTTTTTTTAGACAACACTTTACAGGTAACTAAATAAAATTATTTACAATTAAGTATTAAATGAAATGATTATAAAAATAAAAATTGTGCCATAAACAAAAATTATTTTTGAGTTTTTTAAAGACATTTTTTAGACAACACATTACAGTAACAAAATAAAAAATATTTATAATTAAATATTAAATAAAATGATTATAAAAATAAATACAACCACTGTTTATATTTTATTTTTATTTTATATGCTAATGTAATGAAATGAAAATTTAAAAAAAAAAAATTATAAAGAAAATAATTCATAAAAGATTTTTTTTTGGTCTTGGATCACTTGAGTATTTGTTCTTTTTCTGTAAGTTTTTATTTATTTATTTATTTTGGAAAGTAAGTTATTCAAAATATTATAAAAGGGTGTAACGGTGTGTAACAGACCGTTACGGTACCGCTACGGCCATTACGTAGCAACCGCAACGGGTGGCGATAACCACCATAACCGTTACATAACGGTATTACGTAATGGTTGCAGCCGCTTTTTAAAACCTTGGTTAGTACACAATTCATTATAGTTAACATTTGATAAATATTCAATTTTGTGAATTTATAGATAGCATGAAGATGATTAGATGGTTTTTAATTTTTTTATTTGCAGTATATTGAAAATCACTTAAAAAATAAATATTAATAACGAAATTGACTACTAGTCCCCTTTTTGTTCAATAAGATATGATCAAATTCAAGACCTCATGGTTCAAGGCAACAAGCCAAACATTTCAAATGGAAGGTCACTAATGCAAAAGTTTTAAAAAACTGTAGCACAATAATAGACAACAAACTTTCCGTAACATATACCCAATAAATCACGAAAATTTCACATGAATAACAACCTTGGGCATTTCTTTTACATCCATGGGCTATTAATAGAGAAATCAAAATTCGTAAATTAAGTTCTTATTGGTAAGTGGTAAGTACCACCCAATACTTACTTCTCCAGCATTAAATATAAATCTTTGCTTGTCAAAGAAAAGCAAGATTGACGGCGACGTATCCTGAGTATCCATTCCTGTCCCCAAAATCTGCAAGATATGACAGAAACTGCTAAAATTGTCATTCAAAATGTTAGCATACATAAGATTGGCTAATTTCTGCATACAAAACCCTATGGAATTTGTCCAATGCAATTTGTTCTTTGAGTTGTAAACGTGTTTGGAGGGTTTAACAAAGCGAAACAAAGAACAAACAATACAAAAGCTCGGGCAGTGAATCAATTTACACAAAAGGATAAAAAAAAAACAATGACTTCCACTCTAAATCTGCCCTTTGAGCACTCAAGGTGGACTTTGAGGCAGTAAAACTAAGATTTAGTATGCAGTGGTCTGAACTCGAAAGATTTCCAGCCAAGTTGGAGTATTATTTATTCAAAGACAAGTGAAGGCATGCTTGTAAAGTGAAGGAAATCTCACATGGGCAAGGTGGGTACAATTTCTTTCAGGGTTTTCCCTATGTGGCTCAGACAAGATAAGCAGGCAAAAATAGGGCAACATCATGGAGGTTGAAAATTCAAATGCTTGAAGCCAAGTAACCATTTCAACACATGAATCAAGCTCCATGTATGCTCAAGAGTTGAAAGCATGAGCTAATGAGTATGTGCATTTTTTTGTGAAGAGAGGCGAGAGATTGGTGCAGAGCTGTCCATAAACTCTTGCTCTGCTCTGCACCTTGCAAGATACACCAGGGAAACTTGTTTAAACATTTCATTGGAGGTGTAGGAAGAAATTGGAGGGATTCCATGAAGAACTAATCCTGTATCAAGAAGAAGGCTGACTGTGATTGGACCCACAAGTGAGGTGACAAATGAACGTGTTGTAGAGGTAACAAGTTGGGTATGCACCTAGGTAAGGGTAGTAAGTCGTCTAACTAGTACCTTCCAACAAATTCTTGAATAGTCAATTTGATTTCCGACATTGTTCTTGTTGTTTTCCCCTCAACGACGGTTTCCACATAAATTGGTGTGTTAGTTGTGGTGAATGCCTAACTTGTACCTTGCTTAACTCATTTTCTTATCTGCATTTAGAATAGCCTATTCACCCCCTCTAGGCTACACATTGCGTTTTTAAAAAATGCAGAAAAATTTGCAAGACCAAAAACCAATCTAGGAATCCAGAATCTCTATGATAGAATCCACAATTCTTAGTAAAAGCAATATATATAAAATCCTAGGAATATACATCACCACAGATGATATAGGTATTTAGAGTTCTGGGGTTTCATTTTCGAATTTTGTCATATGTTCTATTCTCAAATCCCTAAATTCAAAGAAAAACAGACCAAAATCAAACAGCATTCTTGAATTCATGCAACCAAAACCAAAGACTGTATGCAGTATTTACACTTACCCTCTTCTCAAAACCAAATGACTTCATGAATCAATTTCTTTCAAGCACTACTGACAAATCCCCAAAACTACCCAGAAAATTTAAGAAAACACCTGCTTCTTAATAACAAAAAATATAATAAGCTCCATTCATGGCACCACCATCCAAATTGATCTTATTGCGTTATAAAAAAATCGACTTTATTTTTTTGGTAAATAAGCGAGTATATATAAAAAATCAACCAATTTAACCAAAACCCAGGAAACCATTTTGAATTACCCACTAATAAGAAAAAAGAAACCTTTGGTTTTTCAATTACCCACTAACAAGACAAAAGAAATACAATAGACCCAATCAAAAGAACGACATTGAAATGAAATCCACGAAGCAAAAATCATAAACACCCATAGATACATACATATATATATATATATATATAGAGAGAGAGAGAGAGAGAGAGAAGTACCTGAACGTAGCAAATGGTATTGACAGGATTGAGCTTGCGGTCCTTCAAAGGGAGTATTTTTTTGGGCCTATCACTCTTATCTCTACCCTCAGCCCTTCTCTTGTTAAACCCAACAGATTGAGTCTCTTCCATTGCCACCAACCCTTTCTCTCTCTTCTCAGTCTCTTTCTCTCTCAAAGAACTATTGTTCCTGTGGGTGAGATTGAGAGGAGGACGCGAATGGTGTTTCTTGGAGTAGGAAGACAAGGCAGTGAAGAGGGAAGAAGAAGAATGGGGTCTGAGAGTTGGAGAAGATTTGGGTCTGAATAGGAGAGAGGAGAGAAAAGAGGAGGATTTGAGAGGAGAGGAGGTGGGGAGAGTGGCGGAGGAGAGTAGGAGGCGAAGGTTTGTGATTTGGGGCATTGCTTTGAGATTTTCAATTTGTAGTCGGAGTTTTGTAGGGTTTTAGCCGATTTTTGCATTACACAAAACCCCCACATCCCCACTGCTGAGGACTGGATTGCAATACAACAAGGATGTAGGATGCAGCTGCCTTTCGGGTCGGGTTGACCGTTACTGTTTGTATAGCGGGACACTGGTCCTATTTTAATAATTTTATTTGTACACCATAAAAAATTTCAATATACATCATTTATGTTGTTGGTATATAAATTTTTAAATAAAAGCTATAAATTTATGAACAAAAAACCATTACTCGCATTTAAACAGGTGAACATAATATATATCTAAATAATTTATTTTTGTTTATAAATTTATATTTTGTTCAGAAATTTATATCTAAATGATACAAAAGGTATATTGAGATTTCATGTGGTTTATTAATATAATTTCCCAGTCTTATTTGCATACTAAACCCACCATCAAAATTTGAAATTTGAAAAATAAATTTCAAAATTTGAAATAGAAATGCATTCTTAGAGGTTGTTTGAAATGATCTAAAAAAGTATATTTTTTGACTTTTTATGAAAAGATATACAGAAAAAGAAATAGTGATATGACTCAAAAAAACAAAAAGGTAAAAAAAGTATACTACAGTCAGTCATGCCAAACAAGCTTTAAATTATAGTCTTATAATCTCATAGATAACCATTAGATCTTATCCTTAGAAATGATCTAAATCATCTAAATGTCCACATGAAACAAATGTATCTAACACATTTTCATAGCCAGTCCTATAGATAATATTCCTAAAATGTCTTTTCCTCAGTCATAAAACCACTGCCATGAACCTTATAGACAACTACAACTCCGACCATTGGAGACTATTTTAGACCTTTGGCAACCACCTCTGACCTTCAACAATAGCTTTTGACAACATTTTTTTCATCTATTTTTTGACAAAAACAAATTCACCACTTCGGATTTGATGACAATAAGAGAATGGGAGAAAGAAAAAAGATAAAAAGAAACAAGGAAAGACCTTACTAAAAATTAGTTTTGTCTTAGACTTTAATGATAAATTTATCAATCTATTTGCACCATAAATAATTTTTTTTGTTGATTATGACCTATCGATTATGGTCAAACCTTCAAGAATTGCGTTAGTTTTAACAATATTTAGTCTTGTTAATTGTGGCCTGTCGGTTACGGTCTGTTGATTCAGACCACAGACCATCTTTAAAAGAAAATTATGGCCATATTATTTATAATTATTATTTTTTTCATTGTTGTTGTTGTTGTTGTTGTTATTTCTATTCGGGACAGTTAGCATCCCTTTAATTCCTTGGAGGTTAAGACAAATTGAAGGAGAAGTTAGGAGAAATCGCAATGGAAGTTGTGCAAATTACGGAATGGATGACAAGTGGTAGCCTAGGATGAAGATGGAAGTTGAAGGTGGTTAGTGGTGGTTATTTTCTACATTTCCAATAAAAAGCCTCTAATGACTAATGTAAAGATCAATCAACTATACATTAAACACATCATAGGTTCTTTTTATCTTTAGGAGTATATTATCTTAACTTTTAGAAGTAAAATAGCATTAATTTGTAACCAAATTGTGTTTATCGACATAATTTTTATTCTGCTTGAAAATTAATGAAGTTATCTTTTGTTATTCTTCAATTTCTTGTTTCTCTTACTTTAATTTTTTCGTTTGAACTACTTATTGAACTTCATTTGTGTTGATTGGAAAAGTTTATAGCCAAATCATTTGTCAATTATGGCTTTGTAGAAAATTTCGCGAAAACAATCGAATTTATAAAAAATTTTGCAGACAACAAATTTGGTTTGAGAAAAACACCATTCAGTCACTCATTCTAGCACACTCATTCATTCATATTTGCATACACATTCACTCACTATCATTAATTTATTTACATATTTACTTACAGAAATACAATCTCTCTCTTTATCACACACATACAAAGGAAGTATCAAAGTCTGATATGATAAAATTTTCACTGAAATTTATCAAAAACACATTCAGTGATAAATTTATTAGTCTGATTTGTAAAAAAATTATAAATGACAAATCTGGTTCACTCACACTCTCACTCATTTACTCACAAGACACCCACTACAAATAGAGAGAACAAGAGAGGGCAATAAATTTATAATTACTAAATGAATTTGTAGTAGATTTGGTTTGAGAGAGAGAGAGAGAGAGAGATGAAGGGGATGAAGGGCAAGATCTCGAAAATACTATTACTTGGAGTCATTTGGAGTCGAATTCACCATTCGAACGTTAGATTGGTGTAGATCTAGAACTAGATCAATGGATCAACGACGATAAAGTGTAGATTAGAGATGATAGAGTGTAAATCAACGATGGTGGGGTATAGATTGGCTACAGTTGAGGTGGTTGGTGAATGGTGGTAGTAGATGATGAATGATTAAAAGTTTACAATTATTCTATTTTTTTTAACCATCAATAGACTTTTATTAAATTATTTCCCTCAATTTATTTCTAGTTGTAAGTTTAATGATTTAAATTTTACTTTTTGTAGAGGAATTTGCAATTAGGATGAAGATTTTGGGTTAACTTGCAATTATTAAAAAGAAATTGAAGAAAAAAATCGAATTGACCAACCAAACTTTTTTTTTCTTTTTTTTCTTTTTTTTGTATTAAAGAGGCGAAGCCAAGAAAAACATTGAAAGAACAGAGTTGCTTGAGCATCCTATCGAAGTGAGTCCTCGACATACCTAGGAGCATTACGGATAATTTGATTGCAAGGTTGAGAAGTCAACGCCCTCTTTAGACAATTAGCACATTCATTAACCTCCCTCGGAATATGCACGACCAACCAAACTCTTTTGGGAAAATTACTATGTAATCCTATGTAGGGAATCTATTTCCCTTCTAATCCTAATATATTTTTAATAAACTAATAGGTGCACAATTTTTTAAGTTTTGTACCCGGAGGTCCCTTTTTTTATTTTATTATTTTTTAAATGACTGTATTACCCTTTGTTTTGAGATCTATATATATGTGAAAAATCAAATATTTGCCTCTGCAATCTCGATTTCTCTTCGTTATGGTGATCTCTTTGTGCTGTGTGGTCGATCCCATTGTACTGTAAGGTGGATCTGGTTGTGCGATCTGAATCTGTGTGTATAGGCGATCTCTGCGTACGCTCTCTTTCTCTCTCTCACTCTGTGTGTGTGTGTCTGTGTCTCACTCTGTCTGTATCTGTGGATACATATATGTATGTATATATAGATAAGCAAATTTGTGTGATATCTGGTTTGTATTCGGCAATGTTGTTATAGTTCTTTGTTTTGTGATAAATTTTGGATGTTTGATACTTATTTTGTGATTTTTGTATGCGATATACTGTAATGGTTTTGATTTCGTTGATTTTGTTTGTTGTATAGTGTAATGTGTTTTGAAGTTGTAGTTTGGAATTGTGAATTCTGTTGCTTTGATACTGATATGTTGTAACTGTATAATTGTGCAGTTTAGAATTGTGAATTGTGCAGTGTTGGTACTGATATGTTGTCACTATATAATTTTGTAGTTTGAAATCTGTGAACAATTATTTGCTGGTTTGTGATTTTGTAGTATGGGGGGGTGTTTCATGTTAATGTGCAAATACAGTAATTCTTGTGCTTCTATTAAGATTAGGAAGGGATGTAGTTATCATGAAGTTGTTAAGAAAATATCTGCAAAGTTCAAGGAGTTGAGTGTTAGTAACTTTTGTTTGTTTTTCTCTATTCCTAGATATTCTAATTGTATTGTTGAATGTGATGATGAATTGGGGAATATGCTATCAATGGTAGGTTGTAGTGGTTCTCATGTTGTTGATGTTGTTGTGGGTGATAAGAGAATTGTGGAGGTTGATGATAATTCTTGTAGGATTGATTCTATAATTTGTAACGATTGTGATGATTTTTGTGGTTTGTTGCCTAGTCTTTATCCAGAACCAGAGAGAGTTTTGTTGTCTGCTAGTTGGAAGGGGATTATACATAGTGTTGGTTAAGAATTTGAAGGTGGAGTGCCGGTGTTCCGCATTGCATTGGCTAAGTATGCAGTTGAGTGTGGTTTTGCAGTGAATTATTTAAAGAACGATGCAACAAGAGTAACTGCTGAATGTATGATGAAGTCGTCTACGGGTTGTAAATGGTTTATGCATGGAAGGATGTTGATGAATTCCGGTATTTTTTTTATTATGAAGTTGGATAATGTGTATTCTTGTGGGGTTGTTGCTTGTAGATCTTGTAGCAAAATGGTTGGTTCTAGACTTGTGTCTGATATTGTGCATAATGATATTAGTGATAATCCGTTGACTCATCCTATTGAAGTTAAAAAAAAGTTAAAAAAGCAATATGGTATAGATGTTTCTTATCGGGTTGCATGGTTTTGGAGTTGATAAAGCAAGAGATGGGTTGTTTGGTGATTTCACAAGTTCTTTTGACCAACTTCGATGGTACCTTGAGACAGGTATGAGAACGAATCCGGGAAGTGTGTTTGAATTAGATGTGGATGAAAGTAATGGGTGTTTTCAGAGATTATTTGTGGCATTTCATGGATGTTTGTATGGCTTTCAATTTTGTCGTCCGTTGTTGTTTGTTGATGGTACATTCTTGAAGGGGCGTTACAAGGGGCATTTGCTTGCAGCAACATCAAAGGATGGTAATCAAGGTATGTATTTATTTGTAGTTAGTATAGTTCTGGTTTGTCGGTGTGTTATTGTATTGTGAGTCTGCTAATTTTTGCAATTTCATGTTATTTTGTTTGCACTCTTGTTTCCTTTGGCTTTTGCAATTGTTGACGCTGAAAATCAAGATAATTGGATGTGGTTCTTAAGTCAGTTGTTAAAGGCTGTTGGTTCAAGCTGGAGATTAACCTTTGTGTCTAACCGTCAACATGGTTTGCTAGACGCTTTTTCAGTGATTTTTCCCAATGCACATCATGCATATTGCTTGAATCATTTGAAGAGAAATTTGATTGACAAATTGATGGGACTTCGTACTAACTATTAGCTGACTTTGATGAAAATATTAGTTAAATGTGCTTATGCGCCAACTATTGCTTCTTTCCAACATTATATGGAGAAA